CTGGAGATAGGCACCAGCACCAATTGGGATTAAGCGTGTAAAAAAATGGATGGATGGATAGTTTACCCATAACATAATCTTCATCCAACTTTGATGGTTTTTTTTCATGACATATCAAGAATTTGTCTCCAAATATAATATTCTAATTTGCATTAACAAACATAATGTTATAAATACAATCCCCGTTAGACTAGCTACCTCAGTTAGATTTACAGCATAGCAGAATCAAACACTATTACCTCAAAAACTAGAAATTGATCATATTTGTGTCTTTTCATTATGCAATAGCAATCGTTATTTATTTTAATTATTTCAGAAAACTATTCTCTCACTTCTGAATGGGGTGTCTTCAGAACATATTTATTAACTAATGTACTCTCTAAAATGTATTTGTGTAATTGTATATGCTGCAATCTTGCCTCTAAAATATATGTATTCCCCTTGTTGTATTTGTTTTCTTTTCACCGTATTTATTTCTCTGTATAAATTTCTATTTCGTATCAAAATAATTGTGAGTCTTAAAAGAATTAAACAGTCTTTATTAAGGGCTGTAACTACCATTGAGGACACCGAGGTCACGTCCTCAGTATGTTTATTTAGGCTATTTATATTTTACCTAAATTGTGATATATAAACAGGGGGAAAGTAGGCCGGTACAGACTGGAAACCTTGTTATGATATAATATGTTCTGTTTTTAATATTGCCTCCTCATAGGGTAGAGAGCTTTAAAAAAAGAAATGAGAAGCAGGTATATTTTAACATACATCTCAGACAAGTATTTATCTGTCATTTTTATTTAAGCATTAATTGTCAAAAAATAACTGCTTGCATGTGTAGCAGTGCTGACTGAAGCTATCGGCCATTATGAATATTTCCAATATTTACAATGTCTAAAAATGTGTGCATGTCTATTTAAACACTTACAAAACAATTTCAGGCCCATGTGTATCACATATAAAAACAAGGGAATCACATTTAAGTCAAGTGTCTGTCATGTTAAAACGGTTTTAACTTGTGAAAACAGGTGACTTGTATGTAAAAACTTGAGTCACATTCCAATGCCACACGTATGCATGTGCTTTTAAATGTAATTCACATGTACACATGATGTACAAATTCGATTTTCACATGTGAAATTCATTAGGGTTTCAGAAAGGGAACAAACAGTTGAGCCCATTTTGAGTGCTAGCTAACCTCAATTATATTTTCATGCAACACAAGACACATCCTATCAAGACACAAGAGCGATCTGTTTGCAAAGCTTAAGTGGTTTATGCACTTCTTAAAGTAGGTTGTTGTCGCATTTATAATGGCACCAGTTTCTATGTTTAGACTTTGAAAAAAAAAAAAATTCTATTGCATAGTGGCACTGGTGTAAAATGATTTAAATCACCTGAAGAACTCAATGTAAAACTGTATTCTGACGTATCATCAAGTAAACCCTGAACTATAAAGTAAATTTCTCTGTAAAAATCTGCTGGGCTATTCAGAATCAGAAATACTTTAATAATCCCAGAGGGAGATTACAGAATTTTATTGAATGTTTTCTAATTTTCTCTACACCATCAAGGTTTGTACTTAAGTTAATAAAGTAGCATCTGTGTGGGCTTCTGTATATTTCTAGAACCACCTAGAAAGACCTAATGAAGGTCTCTTCTGATCTTTTTTACTGAATCAATGGTGGGTTAAGATTGCATTGTTTTACACTTTTCACACATTCAGAGTTTTCAGTATTTTCTTGACTGCAAACATTTTTGGAGGACTTACACTATCACGCAAACCAGTTTTTCTTCTTTCTTCAAAACAAGCCTACCATCACATGCACTACATAATGCTAGGATGTACGCTTACAACTAATCAAATTTGTATTTATATTTGGGAATCTTTCTGTATCTCCATTGGTTTCACTATTGTTTTGAAGAACAAAACACCATTAGTAGGGCTGATCAGTGGCGCAGTGGGTAGCACTGCTGCCTTGCAGCAAGAAGGTTCCGGGTTTGGGTCCACTTGGGTCCTCAGAGGCCTGGGAGCTTGAGGGATCTGTGCAGTATCTTTGCTGTCATCAGAACTGCACTCTTCTGGACGAGATGTCTGATGTATTTCCAGGGATCTTCTGTAACCACTCTTCAAGCTTGGGGGTCACTGCCCCAAGTGCACCAATGACCTTGGGTACCACTGTTGCCTTGACCTTCCAGCTGGTTTTCTCCAGCTCTTCTCTGAGCCCCTGGTATTTCTCTAGTTTTTCATGTTCATTTCATGTTCTTTTTTCCTGATATTGAAGTCACTTGGTATTGCTATGTCAATCACAACGGATTTCCTCTGCTTTTTGTCTGGCACCACAATGTCCGGTTGATTTTCTATTACCATTCGGTCTGCCTGTATCTGGAACTCCCACAGGATCTTGGGACTTTCTCTACCACTTTTGGAGGGGTTTGCCACTTTGACCTTGGGCTTTCCAGCCCATACTCTGCACAGATGTTCCTGTATATTATTCCAGCCACTCGGTTATGGTGCTCCATGTAAGCTTTCCCTGCCAGCATCTTGCACCCTGTAGTTATGTGCTGGTTTGTCTCAGGGGCCTCTTTGCACAGTCTGCACCTGGGGTCTTGTCGGGTGTGGTAGATTTGGGCCTCTGTTGCTCTGGTGCTTAGGGCCTGCTCCTGTGCAGCCATGATGAGAGCCTCTGTGCTGTCCTCAGTCCGGCTTTGTCTAGTCATTGGTAGGATTTCCTGATATCTGCCACTTCGATTATGTTCCGGTGGTACATACCGTGTAGGGGCTTATCCTCCCATGATGGAGTCTCTGGCACCTCATTTTCTGTTGCTCATTGTCTGAGACATTCAGTGAGGATGTCATCTGTTGGAGCCTTGTCCTTGTTTCATCCTGCATAGTGGCTCTTACGCTCATTAGTCCTCAGACTCCTTCCTTATGGCTGGCGTACAGTCTCAGGGTGCTGGATTTGGGGTGTTACCCTTGGTGCATGGTTAGGAGCTTTTGTGTCTTAACATCTGTGGCCTGTAACTCCTCCCTTGGCCAGCTTATTATTCCTGCAGGGTATCTGATTACTGGTAGAGCGTAGCTATTTATTGCCCAAGACTTATTCTTGCCATTGAGCTGGCTCCTTAGGACCTGCCTTACTAGTTTGAGGTATTTGGCCATAGTCGCTTTCCTTGTTACCTCTTCGAGGTTGCCATTTGCTGGTGGGATTCCAAGGTACTTGTAGCTGTCTTCAATGTCTGCTATTGTTCCTTCTGGGAGTGAGACCCTCTCTGTGTGGACTACATTCCCTCTCTTAGTTACCATCCGACCACACTTCTCTAGTACGAATGACATCCCGATGTCTGTGCTGAAGATCCGGGTGGTATGGATCAGTGAGTCAATGTCTCGCTCATTCTTCACGTTCAATGAATGCTGTTCACTGAAAACGTAAATATATTTAGTAACTGGTGAACTGAAAGTGTCAGTTTTGAAGTAATTAATGTAAATGAGAGTAATATTCACTAAGGATGTGTCCGAATGCCCTCCCTAACCCCTAATTCCCTCAATCACTATATAGAGCAGGGACTATATAGCGGACTTTATAGTGAACTCAGTTACCTGACCTTTGGGACAGATGATCAATACTTTTCACTCTGTCATGTAACTCTTCCTACCCGCATGCTACCAGGGCCATCCTTGTTATTTGTCGCTGCTACAACAAATCCCATGATGCTTTGCAAGAAGAGCTCTTCTCGCAAAGCAATCTGGGATATATCTGCTCAGTGACAATAGATGATCACTACTTTTCAAGGAGAATTGTGGGAAATTTAGATTCCACTACTTTTTCATCATCTAGACGTTCAACACTCATCTAAAATGGCGTTACCTGGGGTTAGGAAGGACTTTTGGACTTCTGAGAAGAACAAGCGACACACATCTCATTTTCATGTTCAATTGATAACTACGATTACATACTACATAACATCAGGTTTTACTGTACTTATTATGGCAAACAGCATGGCAGACCAGCATATAGACATTATATACGTAGACACCTCGTTGGACGTGGTCTGCCTATGCTGCGAATTTATCAGAGTCTCCGTGTTGAATGTGGCAATTCTGCTGATAGACTCAGACACTTAAACAGTATCAGAGGGACTTTAATCTCAGAATACACTTAAGATATTGTAATATTTTTATTTTGTAACATTACAAGTTTATTTTAGCATCCCTTTGGCTTCATTATTCTGACTTTGTTCTTTTAAAGAATGCAAATAATTAAAATAATCTAACCTGGCCCTATTACTGCAGGACTGAAATAGTTCTGCAAACTGTGACAATTCTGGAAATGTTCCCATTTAATTCTCATAACATGACTCATATTATATATCACCACTTTGCTCATTTTATTTTTTACTTTATTGTCCTAGAACTACTTTTTCTCATATCAGTAATTCTATCTCTTCTTCTGTTTTTCTGCTCTATTTACATTGCAGTGTCCATATAAACTGTAAAACTCCATGCATAATTATAATAAAGCAATTTATATGCATGAAACAAGTGGAGCAATATGGCAATTGCTATACTGCTACACTTGTGAAAGTAAAATCTGTTGGGCTCTTTTTGGCATCAAGACAATTATTCTTATTGCCACATTGTCAGACAGGACACTGTTAAAAAAAAAAAAAAAGTAATTCTATCTCTTTAATACTCCCCCAAAAAAGTCTGTTCAGGAATATAATTGTCACCATAAATTGTTTTAATTATGCCATTAGATTAGTTTCTATGCATGTTTACCTCTTTTACAGTGCTACTTGTAGAAAGAACTGCCAAGCATTCAAAATAAATAAAAGGAATACAAGCTGCTGCTGGACTGAACAATGTCCAGTAGGTGGCAGCAGAGAGACACTAGTAAAGCTGGTGTCCGCGTAGATGCCTGCTCTAAATGAAAATCGACAGGAAAAATGTTAGATATTATTATAAAAATCTGGACTTTGGTTTTAAATACGTCCTTCCATATATTGGAAAGAGCAGAAACTATTAAGGAAGCAGATGATGTTCATCACACCAACTTTAAAAGTCTTCCTTTAGAGGACAAATGCAGATGGAGTAGGGACCAACAAAGCTGGTAAGAATTGTTTTAAATAGGGTTCTGTTGTTCAACCTTGGTATAAATAATTCGGTTTATATAATTCATACAAAACCTTGCTTCAAACAATAATTCAGATTAAGTGGGCGTCCTATCAAGTCACTGCTCTGGTTCAATATGGCTGCTGCGCATAAACGTTGAATTAACGGGTTATTTGTTAGTCAGGTTATAGCTCATTATATAATCTATAAACACACATCCTCACCTTATGAATAGATAGAAATACGTTAAAAACAACAGACAGTTCCTCCACATAACACCAAATCCCATACATACATCATATTGACAAAAATATGGAATCAAATTCAAATATTTTCACAAATAAATAAAAAAATCAATTCAGTTTACTTATTTGGCGCCAATTCACAGCACACTTCAACTAAAGGCACTTTATAAATCACCACATCATACAGTCAAATTGATTCAGAGTTTTCTATCTAAGGAAAACCAGTTGATTGCATGCTTGTGGTGACAGTGGAAAGGAAAAACTCCCTTTTAACAGGAAGAAGCCTCCAACAGAACCAGGCCACCTCTAGTCATATGGAAATTAAGGAAATAAGAACTTAAATTATACATAAAAGGCAAACAACAGCAAAAAGAATAGAAACTAAAGAATGCATTAAAACAGCTGACAGCTTAGGATATAATTCCACATTTTGCTTCTCTATAAACTTTAGTTCCTTGAGAAAAGTGTGGATAGATGGTTACACTGAAATAAATAATGCAACCATTTTTTTGGCATTTACTCAATCCTATTTAGTTACTTTAACACAATTGTTTCATGTTAGCGGGGTAGAACATAAAACAATTGTGTTAAAGTAACTAAATAGGATTTAGTAAATGCCAAAAGCGGTTCCATTATGTTTTTCAGTGAGCGACATCTGTGAAAGAAAAATATTACTTATAGGATTCATCGTAATACAATTTCAAGTTTCAATCCTTAATGTCATTCTTGAAATGTTTTAAGTAACTTTTGGAGAAGGAAAAAATATAAACAAGTATTCATATCAATAGCAAAACAAAGGAGGAAAAAAGTGAATAACATTTTCAAAGGGACTTTTTTCCACTTTTGGATGAATGATGAGTTATATTTATATGTTTTTTATTATCTTTGATCATGGGAAAATATTTATAAAGTATAATTCAGATTGGGTATCAAAAGAACTAAAGTGATAGATAAAAATTTCCCAGGTTTTAGAATTGTGGGTTGATTCGTCATTTTTTCATAAGCCCAGGAAGAGCAAAGGTTTTATTCTTTTTTAAAGGAATACATCTTTTGCTGTGCATAGATTATTTAAAGAAAAAGCTCTAATGATTTTTTTAAATCCCCTTTAAAAAAAAAAAATTAAATCTGTACAATTCAATAGCTTTCAATCCTCCACCATCAAACCTTTTCTTTGTCTAAGATAGTGTCTTTTTGCTTCCATATATTGTTGAATTTAATAGATACTTAAGCCTGTAAATACTTCCCATTATGGTGAGCAATATTTTCCCCAAACAGATACAATCCCTGTGTCTTCAAAGTTTCATATTTTTGCAATTTCTCCCAAGTATTAAGATTTTCCACATCCGATCGCTTTATCAATGAATCCATTCAAATATTTGATATTGTATTTGAACAGTATTTTAATGGGTAAATCTCACTTTTGTTTAAATTTAGCTTAAACCCAGCAGTTTTTGAAAACCTCCCCAGTTAATCTGAGATTTTAAGAATATCATTTAAGTTATTTAAGATGTTTTTTTGTTTGTTTGTTTTTGTTTGTTGATAATAGCAAGGCAGGATGTGGTTTTTATTGGTCTAAATGGACAAAGGTTAGTCCCCTCCCTGTGATTAATACATTCAAAATTCCTAGATAAAAAAAAGATATATCAGGGGTGTCACCATTGTTGAAATGAACATGCATTGATTTCATAAAGACTTGTCTGGTTTTGCTTTACAGAAGATGGAGAGCTGATGGAAGAGGAGGGAGAGATGGATGACAACTGGTTCCCATTCGCTGTTGTTACAGTGAAAGCTGAAGATGAGGAAATACCTCAGTTATCAGAGCTTCATCACATTAAAACTGAAGACCATATAGAGCCAGATGCGGCAGCCAGGAGCTCAGCTGCACAGATGAATTCGAAACTGCATTCAGATGGTGGGGATCTCTTTGAGATTTTTACGAAGATGTTTTATTACAGAAAACTGAGAAAGTCTGGGAGATAGTGTGATTGGATAAGAAGGGGGGAAAAATAGGTTTTGTATAAAGAATATTAGTATTTTGATATGTTTTTTTCTTTTCTTTCCTCATGTCCTCTCTCTGTTATGTTTTTCCCTTTGATTATTCTTGTTCCTTCCTCCTTTCCTTCCTTGGTTATAACCTGTTTTTCCTTCCTCGAGTCCTTCTATTCCTGTGTCCTTTCTCTCAGCTTTGTGTTCATCTTTCATCCCTTCATCGTGTGTCTTATTTCTCTCCTGATACTTTCTGTGTTTTTTTTCCTTCTTTAAATCCTTCCATTCTTCATTTTAGCTCCTGTCACCACAAGCAGCTGTTGTCTATGAAGCTAGTTAAACTCCCAGCCATGTTTGCCTGTGTCTCCTCTACAGGGGACCAGCAGCTGTTGGCGATTAACAGAGCGGCTCCCAGTTTGCTCCAAGTCTCCAGTTCTGACCAGGTGAACTCAGAGCTCATCAGGATAAAGAAAGAGGAGGAAGAGCTGTGGATTGTAGATGAGGAAAAACCTAATTTATCAGGGCTTCATCGAATTAAACCTGAAGACAAAAGAGAGACAGAAGCTCCACCCATCAGCTCAGCTGAACAGATGGAAACAGAACCTGGTAGTGAGGACAGTGAAGGACCAGAACCGAACGATACTGATTTGAAATTACTCACAATAACTCAGACAGAAGGAGAACATAGCTCCCATCTTTGTGATGGATTTAATGAGAAGGGTTCTCTTCAGACACAAGAGACACTTCAAACTCAAAAAAGAATATACGCCTGTGACATTTGTGGAAAGAGATTTCAAAGACGTGAAACTCTTAAGAACCACATGAGGATCCACCCCACAGAAAGACAGTTTATCTGTAGCGTTTGCAGTAAAACGTTTTCAAGACAGGATCATCTGAAGAGTCATATGCGAGTTCACACGGGGGAGAAACCATTCCTTTGCACTGTTTGCAGCAAAGGATTTTCCCAACAAATTCACCTCAAGAGTCACATGCGAGTTCATACGGGAGAAAAACCGTTTGTTTGTAGTTTTTGTGGGAAAGGGTTTTCCCGGCAGGATCTTTTAAAGAGTCACATACGCGTTCACACTGGGGAGAAACCGTTTGTCTGCAATGTTTGCAGCAAAGGATTCTCCCAACAAAACCACCTGAAAAACCACATGGGTTTCCACACCGCGACATTTAGCTGTAACGACTGCGGCAAACGCTTCGTAAAGGAGGACCAGTTGAAGCGACACGTGAGGCTTCATACAGAGGGGAGGCCGTTCGGTTGCAATGTTTGTAAAAGTAGGTTTTACAAAAGGTACCATCTAGAAAATCACATGAGGATCCATTCAGGAGAGAAACCGTTTGTTTGTACTGTTTGCAGTAAAGCGTTTTCTCGAGATGGGGATCTTAAACGCCATATGGGTGCTCACTAGGGAGGGAACTAAGAAATGTCTGGGGTTTTAAGATTAGTCTCTAATTGAACCCATTTAGCTTCCTCATAGGTTGATACCTCTGGGCCTGAGGCGGTTTTCACTATCAAAGTATCCCAAAGTTTTTGAAAATTGTTCTTTTAAGATATAACTTTAGAGATTTTTTACTGAATGCCTCAGAAAATGGAGGTAGAGGAGTTAATTCCTGGATATAGGATTTTTGCTGCTCTCTTCCTCAAATATTAAGAAACACCAAGTAATATTGTGAGCTTTTTGAACCCTCAGTGTTTCTCTGTGAAGATCGAAACAAAGCAGGGGATCCTATTCTGCAAAATATCTGAGTTAATTTAAAAACGAAATAAAATAACAATTTTTTCCAGCAGTAACACTTGACAGTTTTATAACTGCATCCATTTTTCATACAATCTTTTCAAACAACCTGCTTTCTCTGTGTTTTTTTTTTGGTGTCAGTAACTCAAGATATCATTATATTACTTAAAACATAGTATTTTGCTTTTCATATTAAAACGTATTAGTTTAAAGACGGATCAGTCAATGAAGCAGCTTGCGCTACTTGGCAATCCCTAAACACATCTGTTAAATTTATCCTAAACCAAGACAGTTTGCCCTGCTGCTCTAGAGCTTTAAACACTGATATTTTGACATCAACTGCCTCCATTATGAATAGATACTCTTGTTTTGGTGTAAACTTAGATGAAAGTCAGATGATTCTAACCATAACATCATATTTCCTGTTAGTTCTCCACTGTGTATTCATTCAGATAAAGTGCAGAAGTGGCTTCAGATGTCAACACCTGCCTGGTCTTATGTTTCAGGTAGACTCTGACCTGATTGAACTCCAACGGAGCAGTGTTTATTTAATTTTTGTTAGGGACTTCCATAAAGACAGACACAACCCAGCAAGAGCTCTGACTTTCGAGCTTTATCTTCTCTGAATGCAGGAAGTAATTAGGTGCAAGGATGGGCGCTGATAACTGAAAACTGTCTTTTAACATGTTGGTTTTATTCCCTACAGTATTGAAATATATGTAGAACTTAAAAAAAAAAAGCAGTTCTTTACACTAGTCCTTATTAAGAGTCCCCAAGTTGCTGCACTTTTTTTTGTTCTTCAGCATAATCTTCACCCAAAAATTTGAAAAACTAGGTGCGGCAGGAGCTAATTTACACCAGCAGGGGGCAGCACTGAGACACCTCAAAACATAATTAAAGAGTGTTTGCACATATGCCTGATCAAAATCCAGCACAGATCTATAAATAAATTAATTCCAGACGAAGAGCGAGACTCCGCTTCCCTGTAACGCCACTATAGACCCAGTATGGCAGAAATGTACGCGATTAGATTGTGAGTTCGTCTGTTTGGCTCAGTTTAACCATGACACCATGGAGAATGTGGATTATGTTCAGCACTGAAAGTCTGCTTTTAGAGGATAAACTGCAGAGGTTAAGCTCGTAGCCTGGAAGCCTCAGGATGCTTCTAATAGAAACCATATAACTGGTAAGAAAAAAGTCTGATTTAACGCGAATTAGGTGATTTTCTTTAGTGTATTATTCTCCGTGTAGCTTAATTGACCAATACTGCGACACGTCAGCGCGTCCGCCATATTGGAAATACCAGAAGCACTAATTAACTTTTAAGATAAACAGAAAAAAAGACCCTAATATATTCTATTAGATCTCGAATCGAGTCAGATTCCACCCAGAAAAATAATAAAGCACATAAATCCCAGCTTTAAACGTATCAACTGTTTAGTTACGTTTTAATTTGTTAAAAACGCATCTAAAAACATAAGGTTTTTGTTCTTTTAAACAAAAACTGTAAAAGCTTCGAGGCTGAAATATGAGGAGAAACTGTGACATCAAGTGGCAAAATGGAATTTCAACAATTATTAAATAAAAGGATCTAGACCCTGGCAAAGGAAGCACCACTGTCAGTTTGAAGATAAAAACAACCTTTGTAGTTTATGTTCCTCTCAACGTAGTAGTGAAAGCATATATTAGGGCTGCTGCTATTAAGATCAATAATAGGAACTTTAAATGGCACATTGTAAATGCCTTGTAAATGGCTAAAATATGTAGAAAAAAATCAATAAAGCAGATTTAAAGAGGAAGATGGATGGATACTGGACAATCAATTCAATGATCTATAGTTACAATCAGCCAATTTATTTTTATTTAATTTTTTTACCCCAAGCAAATATACCCAAGCAGCTGATATTGCTTCTAATTTTTATTTTTTTTTTGTGAAAATAAAGAAATATTAACAATGAAGACCTCTGCTGTAGATTTTCATTTCTAATGGTAGATTTGTTGATGAAATTAAATGAAAAAATACTAAATTAGGAAAATAGCTTAAAAACAAACAAGCTAAATTGTTAAAGAGCCCTAATAATAATGTTAAAGTATCAATTCTAAGATTGCTGATGAAGGTTCTCAGTCATCCAGGTCATAGTCATTCCGTAAAAATAAAAAAAATATCTTACACACACACATATATATATATATATATATATATATATA